TAGATTTTGCAATACGAATAAAATAACGCGGCTGCTGAAAGTGCCCAAGAACTTGGAACAGTTAAAGACACTTGAAACCAAGGTGTATCGCAGGTTTTCTCAAGGTCATGCACCGAATTTAAAAGCGCGAATGCGTACTTTTAATCGTTGCAACGCTGATTAGTTAATTACCGTTAGAACGTGAAGGATGAAAGTCTGCACGAATGTGCATGCAGGTACGAAGGTGTACGTGCACTTTTCAGCGTGATTTTTTTTCAGCGGAAGAGCGACACGATAGATATTGCAAGTCTGAAGGTTTCGAAAAATCACATGGCGGGGTCGTAAAATGTGTGATCATATATCCTAATGGTAATAAAATGAATATCTATGCGTTGGTGTTTTACATTTGATGTCACACTACACTGGAGAATTAGGTCGGAAAGACCAAGTACCTACTTAAACTACAAATTATGTAGAATCCTGAAATAATTTTTGTATGCTCTTTTGCAAAATATTCTTATTTCTAAGCCCAATTGTGGAATGACCCTAAGAAAACTACAATATGGTGTAGGAGCAAGAAAAATGGAAACAGCAGGCAATTGCTCATCGAAATCAAATGATCGAATAAACCGAAACAGTGTATTGTGTATAATGAGCCGAATCTGCTACATTGCCGATCTAGAAATTCCTGTGTTTGATCAGCACAACAAATTCGTTGATCGTTGGTCAAACGCTTGGTTCTGCTCCTAGCGGGTTCGTATACTCCGTAGTATACTCCCCCGTGATCGGATGATTTTTCTAGTTGAAAGGAGGTTAGGGTTCAATTATCTTATAAGTATCGCTCAGTCATCACCATAAGATTCACTGTCCAGGGGGTCCTGACACTCCCCGAAATATCAATTTAAAATGATTGCATGTTTTCAATTTGCGATGACCCTCCCCCTGCTCACTGTGCACTGATCTAGCCAATACAATGGCGCTGAACCTACCGAATTTCCGGTGTTTACCGAAATACCAAAAACGTCCTCATTTTCCATTGGTTTTTTAGAATAATTCAGATATCTATATTGTTACCAAAACCAAAAATAAAGCTAAAAAACTGAATTCTATGTATAGTCTGATCATATTAGACGAAAATACACCTGGTGTGCGAAATAACTGTAGAGTTTGGTTTTATTGTTACAAGTTGTTCAAGGGGCTATTTGAAGCATGTACGCATAAAATGGGTACACCAATTTTTGTGAGAAAAATTTTTATTCGACAACAAAGAAAGAGGAAACGTGTTTTTTTGGGATTCAATCGAAAGTGTTGACAGGAACGAAATAAGGGGGACACAAGTTTGGCAAAAAATCACGTTAGCACGTGCAGCCCCCTAAGCGGGGATGACACCACCCCCAAGATCTTAAATGGAAAGGGGGGTCCAGTGATACCTTATTTTAAAGGTGTTTCAATTCCCTTTATAATGATGTACTTAAAATACATGAGCTTCAGTTCAGTAGTTTTGATGCTTTTCTTCACTACGCCCATGGTTTGTTTATCATTTTGTTGTCGAAAATAGCTATTGGAGCGTTTTTTGTGGCAAAAAAGTTATTTCTTGAAGAAAGATAAGAAAATATCTCGTACATATTTTAAATAGGAATTTAGTACATAGCTTGCGATTGATTTGACCAAACTTCGTTGCTAAAATAACTTGTAACCCTTTATTACATAAATTAACCATGGTATATTCTACAGCAGAAAGAGTGGGAATTATCGAAATATTTTTCGGAGATAATCAGTGCGCTATAATAGAACAGCAGAAATATTTAATGAGAGACATGAGAAAATCGGCATCGAAAATATGTTCTAGAACCTGTAGCTAAATTTCGGGAAGCTGGTTCAGAATGGAAATAAAAAACGCAACATTGTTAATTCCATATGGAATGAAGCAATAGAAGTGGAGGTTTTGGGGCAAGTTTATCGAGATCCTACGTTAAGTACCCGCAAATTGGAGACTGTGTGTGGTGTTAGTCGACGTACTGTCCAACGGATTCTAAAGGCCCATAGTTTTCATCCGTAAAAAATTCACCTGGTACAAGAACTTAATGAAGACGATTTTGATCGGCGATTACAATTTTGCAGATATGAGTGAACGAATTATAAACGATGAACATTTTCTATTCAACACTTGCTTTTTCTACGAATGTTCCTTTTTCTTCAATGGCGTAGTAAATCGTCATAACTGCCGATATTGGTCCGATTCTAATCCCAGAATTTATCATGAGGTTCATACACAGCAGTCACAAAAATTAAATGTTTGGGCTGGTATTTTTGGCGATCATTTAGTTGGTCCTTTTTTCTTACCTGGAAATTTGACCGGTGAAATGTATTTGGAATTACTGGAAGACGCCATTGATCCTGCATTAACAGCCACAATTGAAAATCAGAATGGTCGGCGGTACATTGCGAATAGGTTGATGTTCCAACAGTATGGTGCTCCACCACATTACGCATTAAGTGTTCGACAATATTTAGATCAGACGTTTCCAGATCGATGGATTGGTAGAAGAGGTGCTATTGAATGGCCCCCAAGATCGCCAGATTTATCACCTTTGGATTTCTTTATGTGGGGCTATTTAAAAAGCAAAATCTATGCTACTCAGCCAACATCATTAGAAGACCTGCGACAAAGAATTGTGAATGAGTGCCTTCAAAGTACTCCTCAAATATTGCAAAATGTGCGGCAACGTTTTGAGCAAAATCTTTATTATTGCATGGAGAGTCATGGTGGCCATTTTCATCATTTACTTGCCTAACGGGTTAGTTCATTCTTCATTTTTAAATTACTTTGCTGCCAAATGTATTGATCTCCACTAATGATGATGTATTAGTTTTATTTAAGCTTTAACTTAATAAACCTTCAAAACTACAGAACTGAAGCTCATGTGTTTTACATCATTATAAAGGGAATTGGAATAACTTTAAAATAAGGTATCACTCGACTCCCCTTTCCACTTAAGATTTTAGGGTTGTGTCACCCCCGCCCAGGGGGCTCCACGTGTTAATGTGATTTTTTGCCAAATTTGTGTCCCCCTCGAAAACAAAATCGACGGGTCTGAGCGTTTTTTCAAAAAAAAATGAGCTGCCAGTAAATGAGTCTGTTAAGTTTTCGATGCGCCACCCTGTATAGTTATTTCATGAAATTAACAAGAATTTCAAATTAGATTATTTCATGAAATGCTATATAGGTAGACATGAGACAGTGGTTTTGGGGGGACGTGAGACGTCTCATGCCTCCCTATGTAGCGCCGTTCTATAAAATTATTTAATCTAAAATTCCGGTTAAACATCTGATTTACTGGATTACTAGTATTTTTAAACAATTAAAAAATGCCAATCTGATTGAGAAATAATTTTAGAAGATGCAGCATCTATATCGAGAGCATGCAAGAAGAAATTTCGAACCATGCAAGAGGACGCCTCAATGTCAAAAGCCCACGTGCAAGATCGCAGCTTAACCACTAAACAAAATTTTGTTTGACCAGAAATTTTGCGACCGCTTCCAATGCAGGCCCTTGAAGACGTATTACAAAGCGATTATGTGGTTCCTCAAGAATTCTTACCGACTCACCAGAAAAAGAAGCAATAGAGACTGAAGAAACTGCTCGGAAGATAAAAAAAGTTGTTCCGTCGAAGCTTGACGATCTTTTATCAACAACAAAGAAACAAAAATATTTACAGAAACCTGCAACTCCACCACAGTCTTCTTCAAGTGATGAAGAGGAACAAAACGAGTTGGGCGGAAGCAGCGAAGATATTTCAGATGTTGAAAGCTACGAAAGAGTAGTGATTCAGATGAAAGCTCTTGGGGATGTCAAGCCCTTCCAAGTGGGAGACTTCGTTTTGGTTAAGTTTTACACAAAGACTTCAACTATGTTTTATGTGGGTCTGTAATATCAAAGGAAGTTGATGAATACTTTGTAAAATGTTTACGTCGTCACGGAACCACCTGAAAATTTGTTTATCCACCAGTGGAAAATATTTATTCAGTTCGAGAACAAGATATTATTTTGAAATTACCGTTTCCAAAAAATGTAGGTGGAACCGAAAGAGTTAAATCTACTCTGACATTTGGTCTGGACTTACGTTACTATCAAAATGTTCGTAGATTTTCTTTATTATTGTCATTATTTTTTTTTAATAATTAATAGACAGTTTTCGTTGTTGATTAATAATTAACAAACTACTTGCGTTGTAGATTTTCTTTATGTTTTATTTCTTCAACAAAGAATAAACGTTTCCCAAAAGCTTACAATGTCTCAATGCTCCCTATAACTTGTCTCAATGCTCCCTTCCTAGGGAGCCTTAAAACAATTTACACCATTTGGTTGAAATACATTTAAATAATTTGAATAATATTTTGGAAGCATGAGCATGAGCTAAAGTATGGCAAGTTTAGCTAAATCGCACACAATTCACTTGCCCTATATGAAATCTTTAAATTGCAAATTGAATAACGTATAAGGAATAAAATTAATTTTTTGTCTCAAGCCTCCCCAGTCTCCCCTACAGCAATTTATCCTTTGCCTTCGTGGCTGCCGGCTTAAATTCCAAGACCGTAAAAATTATGATTTTTTTTCAAATATTTCCGTGAGCTAAAAAACCAAAATTTCAGCTTGTCCTCAAACTCTGTTCTTCGAGTTTATGATAAGAAAATGGGGACTGAAAAGTTCCTAAAGCTAGGTTTTCCCACTTTTTCAGCTTACTTAAGGTGAGGCGTGGACAAAACTCATTTCAGGGTGGGGGAGCAAAAATGTGTGTACCTGAAATTTTGAATAGGTTTATGTCAATTCACGGGAAGCTACTTGATATATTTTTCTCTATTCAACTCAAGAACTTTTCATCATTACCTCGTAACAGTAACAAGAGTTCCGCCATCTACAAGACAATATATTAATTACAATGACAAACGTCAAGAAACCTATGATTGTCAATGTTTACACGTCCACCTCGGCAACCAACAATACAGCCTCGCATAAATTATTATCTAAATTGGTACAAATTCTGGAATGTTTACATTTTTTTCAAGATAACACAAAGTTTTTCAAAAATCAAATGATTACAAATAATTCCAACAGTTTTTAGGCAACATAGAAAGCGGTATTAATATTAGTCTTGAGATTCCGCATATTTGTCGATATAATTTGCAACACAAGGTCATCACGATCTTCAATCCACATCCAGGCTGTCAGTCGAAAATAGAAGCAAAACAAAGTGTGTTTTATTTGTGTTTTGTGCGTTCAATTATGCAATTTTCTCTCAATTGAAACCTAATAAAATGTTTATTAACCTCATAAAACCCGTTAACAAATCTTTTCAGCATCTCCAATCGCCGTAAAATTGCTGACCCGACGAAATTCCAACCTGCTGCTACCAGCACAAATTGTTATAAGTTTACATTTCACGCAGCTGTTATAAAATTAAACAAAGATGCCGGTGCCTCCAATCCCTGTGATTGTCGAGACTGAGACAGGTATGAAATGTCCAATGATTCATTCTGCCCATTTTGCAAACATCTGCATAATTTCTTTTTTTGTCTACAGAAAACCGTAGTCTCACTGACAGTGTAGGCTCACATTCAGACGTATCAGGAGTCACTGTGCACAATTCTTCCAGTAATATGGTCAAACCGCACATGGATGTGGTGTGTGTTATAGATATATGTCAAACTGACAACTTGATGCAAAGAAAAAAGGCTTTGGAAGAAGTCCGACTGGCATGTCTACAAATTGGAGCTAATGTCAGCCACATTCAGGTGAGTCTAACACGGAAAATAATCTTACAAACATATACCTACATGTTAGAGGTAACTATTAAATGTATCCCATTACTTAGTCTCAGTGGCTAGTCTACTAAGTATTTATTCAGTGGCTAATCTGCTAAGTATTAGCACAAGTGTGTAATAAATTGATAGTGCTGCAAAATTAGGGCTGGCTATAAGCTTCAGGAACATCATTCGTAGTTTAGAAAGTTCCCATCTCAGGAATATACTTCTAAACAATTTTGTGTATTATATGAATCATATCACCTATCTATACACAACCACATTTTGTTCTTAAAAAAAAAACATGTTGTGTTGAAAATCATTCAGGTTGGACCCTTCATTGATATTTCATTTAATTCTGATACCATCAGTCTATCAGCACCTCATTTCAGATAAAGTGTATATTCACCACTATAATGAACATGAGTGTTTTGACCATAGCCTAGGTCTCACCAGCACAACTGGACAAGGCAATAGCGATACAGGAACTATCATATTTTTAATGTACATTATGTATGGTAGGAACATTCAAAGGCAGCAACCAGTGACCATAAACATACTATGTAACATTGTATATATAGTGTATTACAGTGTGGTCTTCACTATCACTTTGCTCAGATGGGCTGAAAAGACTAGACTATTGTTGAAACATACATGTCCAAGGAAAAGTCATATGTGTAGTGGAAAACGTGCAGTAGTTCATTGTCAGCTTCAGACTGATAGCTCGAGACAAGAATGAGATGTGTTGGAGGACCACACATAATGTGAAAGACAGTTGTTGCTATGAACCAGCTTACCTTTATGACATAAAATATGATGTATGGGAGATATGATGCTCAATTTTGTTCTTTACTATTTGGATGTTGCATTCCCTCAGAAAATATGTCTTATCCAAACTTCACATTTTAGAAACAAATTATTTGAAAATGAAAAACCTGAAATAGAACCAACAGATTACTGGTCAAAATTAACATTACCTAAATCTTTAAAAGTTTATCTTTTATTAGTGATTGAGAGATATAGAAAGAAAGTTGCAGATTACTATACTAGTATATGTGGGTAGGAAGAACAGTTCTGAATGAAAGACTGATTTTCATTTTAAAAATGATTTAATTTCTGTACATAATCCCATTCGACTTCAACACTTTTGGTTCAAGATTTCTGCAACCTCAACATTAGAATTTCTTCTTGGAAGTGGAAGTCAGGAACTGTTAAAATATTTGTTAATTTTTCCCGAAGTGCTTTCTAAAAAGAAAATTTTTCAAATCTGGGAACAAAAGTAAAAGTCTAAGGGTACAGAATAGAGCATGGTCGAAAAAATCTGATCTTCCCTTCAGACTTTTCTTCTTTGGCGTTGAACCTCCCTTCAACTGCTGTTTTGTTTCTGGCATTTAATATAGTTGTGGACCCATCTCTGATCCATGGTAACGAACCGACTCATAAAATCGGTCGAATTGGATTGATCCAAATATTGTTGTGAAGTCGTTTGTACATCCACTTTTTTTTGGCATTCAGCAAATCCCCAATTGTTTGTGCAAGATAACTCACACTCTTTCTTCCGATATCATCAGGGCCTCAGCTATCTTAGTTACTTCACATTTCATACTTTTGAACTGTAGTCTATAAATATGATCAGCTCTGATTTAACGACTGGTGTATCTACTTGTGAATAAACTTCTTTAATAAAGGGTGTTCAGACCGGCAGGGTTATTACGCAGAAAACCTATATAATATAAAAAAAACGACACAATGTCAAGGAAATAGTTAATTCCGCGTTTGTTCGCTATGAACGTCACCAAAAGCGCCATCTATGGAGCAATGACTCAACGATACGTTCAATGACAGTACTTGGAAGACAGTACCCCAGCATGCTTTGTTGGCTGCAGAATTCCGAGCTAGTCTGTAGAATATATCTCTGAGATGTGACAGAAAGAAAATTGGTTGAGTGGCAGGATCTGGATGATTGTATGTATTGGTCTGCATGCATATAGAATCAGAGATTATGTACAAAGTTATAAATGACGAGTTTTCCCGTTTTTTTTTTTTTTCGTTTACAAAAAGTTTGAGAAGTAGTACCTCGCCCACGTTGTGTGTAATTAAGCCACATCACAGAAAAAGTAGGAATGAAGCATCACACATAAAGCATTTTCGCAGTACCTCTCGTCTAGGCACTTGTATTTTCTACTTGACACCGCAAAATAAATTTTTATAATATTAATTGACTGCAATTAAAAAATCATGTGAAATGAAATCACTTTTTCACGTTTCATAAATATGTCTGTAGCATAGTTTCTCACCTTTTAGTTGTAATATTCTTCACCAGCCATTGATTTTCTTTTCTTATCTCTCTAATTTTTTAAATTCATGAAATTTGCATATGTAATTTCCAGGATGAATAAGAAAAAGTGGATGCGCAACTAATTTCTAGCTTTGCCAACATCTCAAGTACATGTATTTGAGACAAGAAACCAATGGAATTATCATCAACATAGATTATTGTCAAGTGAACAACAGCTAGTTCTAAGTTGACATCTTGTAGAAAAACCTTCATAATCTCACAAAAAGAACCTATATAATGTTAAAAAAAACGGACATAATGTCACTTTTCAAGATACGTAATAACCTAACCACACAGAAATAATCAAAAATGGTTCCGATGCGGTCTAGGTATGCATAATATTTAAGGATAATGCACCTACAGAATCAGTGGAGATTGATTTTGGCTCATATGAAGTACAAAAACAGTAGATTGGATGCTCAAAAACATCGACAACATCTCTGTGAGGTAACCGCTTAATGTAACGTAAGTGATGTCGGAAAAACATATAGAGGGAAAAGACAGAAGAATTATAAAGAACGCGGACTTTGTTTAGTATATACCTGTATAGCTGTACCTTGTCCTTGATATTGGACTTTTTATTGAACTGACAGGACCACCACAGTTGGGATACTAGCCAGAGTTCTAGGTTTTATCAATGTGCATATTATTATAGATTTTCGCTGATTGGAGCCTTATCTCTGTGCCAAGCCAAGAACTTTTCACCCCATTCATGCATATACCATTTTAACAAATTAATATACCTATTTATTTTTAGTTTGAAAAATTGGACTTTGGTGAAGCTAATGTAGTAAGCAGCTTCTACAATGCGGATGTAGTGATTATAGATTTGTCTTTCCCCACACAACAAAGTACTTTATTTTACCATTTGGGTGTAAGAGAAAGTTTCAACATGAAGCAAAACATTCTCATTTACAATGACATTGATTCTGAAGTGACGTTGAAAAAGAGGGTAAGAAATACTTTGATTATGTATATAAACGAGATAGAATACACACAAAAAATGGTGCTCAAGAAGTAACTTTAAAGATACTTGATGATAGGGGTGGAGTGGCCATATCTGTTTATAACTATTGGAAACCTACACTAGTTTTGTATCACTACACTGTAATTGATATTGTGAAATCCACAGCCAACAAATTGAATATAAACATCTGTTTCAGCTGTCGTGTGCAAATTATTCTTTTGTTTCATATAATTTGAGTGATAATGTGTGCCTTACCACCTGCTCTAGTGGCAGAACAGATGAGCCAACAGAACTGCTTCATATTAGGTTGAAAAAATTGCTGCAGGATGTAGAGATACAAACCAAGTAAGTGCTGAATTTAATAACTGATCTATACTAAAACATACATCTGATTTCCTTGGTAATGAAAAAACTTACCTAAAGCGTCTAATGATGACTCAAATTCAGATTCAACAATAGACTAGGTTGTGCGAATGACTCACATAGTTATTTTCAGAGCTCACATGAAGGAAAAATTTCTTGGTGACTTAAAAAAACTTAAAGAACAAAAAAGTGGTGAAGAGCTGAGAGAAGCCTTATATCTTATGAGAAAACGTCTTGACGATCCAAACGTACTATCGGGAGAAGTCATTGTAAATACACTGTTATGTTTCCGAGATATTCAAGAATATGACGCGATGATACATTTAGTTGATGATCTGAGAAATGTGCCAATAGCAAAAAAGTTTTTGAACTCGTACATTATGTTCCTCTATGCATTTGCTCTTAATCGAAGGAAGAGGGAAGGTGATAGAGAGAAGGCTCTAAATGTTTGTATAGAGGCATTAAGAAGTGTAAGTATCTAATCATAGCATCTAGCTGCCACCAGCTAGCATACGAGGTCTGTAAATTAAATGATGAGACTGGTAATGTAGCGCTCCATTTGGCAACACTGGTGGCGCCGGGCTTGGAGGGGACACAGAGGAACATGTGATCCGCCTTCAGTACAAGTTTGAACTCGATCGAGCCTCCTTATTTGCCTGACTTGAGTCCTTGTGACATTTTGCTTTTCCCGAAGTTGAAAAATCACCTCACGGGAACTCGTCTTGGAACCATTCGAAAATATTCAAACGGCTGTAACCGACCAGCTAAAGGCTTACTATGAGGAGAGGAAGAACCGTTTCCATCACTGTGTGGCTTCAGAAGGAAGTTATTTTGAGGATGACAATATACAATTGTAATTATATTAGAATAATTTTTTTTTTAAATCAAGTCTCGTTCAGTCAATTTACAGACCTCGTGAACTGTTTCACATATAATCTTTTCAAAACTTCCAAAGCAATCTATTCAGATAACTTCTAGCAGACTATAGTAAGCCATACTTCGATCAAAGATAGCTACTAACAGCTACTTGCCACTGAACGTAACCATTGTGTGGAATTATTTGAGCTGGGCATTATTATTTTGGTTAAATATGTTACTATCACCAATGATTTTCAGAAAGAAAATCATTTTCCCGACATGCTGTGCCTATGTGGACGTATCTACAAAGACATCTTTACTGAATCTGACTATCAGGACAAGGACAGCTTAGACCAAGCTATCCATTGGTACCGTAAAGGTTTTGAAATTAAACCAAATGAATATGCAGGCATCAACCTAGCCACTTTGTTGGTAATCAAGGGCGCAGAAATTGGCAAGTCTGACGAATTGCAGCATATTGGCATGGTGTTGAATAATCTTATTGGAAAGAAAGGAAGCTTGTTTTCATTGCAGGATTATTGGGATGTGGCGACGTTTTTTGAGATATCAGTATTATTTCAACATTACAGTAATGCTACTCAAGCTGCAGCTTGTATGTTCAAGCTTAAACCGCCAAATTGGTATCTTAAATCGACAGTTGGTAAGTTTTTTTTAACTAGCTTCCTTTATTTGAAAAGGCTGTTTTATTGTATACAATTTCCATGTCTCATTTCAGGAAACATACAGCTAATAGATAGGTTTCGCAAAAAGACGGACGACGTTGGTACACCAGAAGAACAGATATTCCACTTTTGGATGGAGTTTTTCATAGAGGCAACAAAAACAGAACACGAACAAATATTTAGATTCCCTGTTTTGATCTTGGAGTCCACCAAAGAGCTCATGCCAAGTTATATTTGCATTAATTTGGATGCAGATCCTCAAACACTCCAAGTTAGTTGATTATTTACTATGTGGGTGGATCAAATATAAGCCAGAATCTTACAAAGGTCCCAGCATCTGTTGCGTAATGGGTTATAATAAAATTATAAGTTTTTAACCAATGACACCGTGCGAAATTTTAAATCGATCATGATGTTACAAAATTCGTGCGCTAATGTTTAATTCACCCTCGTCTAGATAGGTCCAAATTACACCATGCGGTCCTTTTTTATACTTGAGACCAACTAATGTATGCATTGTTCATATTCTAGGTAACAAATCTTTGTGAAAACTGCTTGAGAGCAGAATGTACTAAAATTCACAACTGGGAATTTACTGCGAACCAAATCAGAAGTATAAGTTTTTACAAAAAAGATGCACGCTGTCTTTTTCTATATGTTCATTACAATTCTGATGATTTCCAAATCTATTTTCCATCAGAAAAATGCAAGTAAGTATAAATTTGTCGTGAAAGATTAATTCAAGAAGAAATTGAGATTGTAATTATTATGTAATGTGTTCAAATGTACAGGATGATTCAAAAAAACGTTGCAATATTCTAGGACATAAAGTAGACAAAAAAATAACACGAAAAGTTCTTTTAAATATGGGTCCTAAAATGCCCAACTTCCGATATACAGGGGTTGAATTTTCAATTTTGTGTTTAAAAAATGTATAAACTTCGGAATTTGTTAAGATATTGCCTTAAAATTTTGCATATTATTATTTGCGACACTGACTTTTTAGGCGTCTTTTGCATTTTTAAATAGGTTATTCAATTTTATATGAAAACAAATTTTGGTCAAACTATTCCTTTCAGGCAAAAAGTCTGTCAGAATATTTGAAGAAAAATCCATATTAAACATTTCAATTCGTTCTATTTTGAAAATATGCTGGAGTTAGTGAAGTTTGGACATCGAAAATTGTTTCTAGAAATTTACTACTTGTATCTTGGTCACGAGACATCTTAGGACTTATGTTTTTATGAACTGTTTTTTGTTATTTTTGTATGTACTTTCAGCTCTAGATGTGTTGTAAAGTTTTTTTTGAAACACCCTGTAGAATAAGTACATTTTTTAAAAAATACAAAAATCCTATAGTTTCTTTTCTCCTTCTGCCTGCTCTAACAATCTATCGCACACTTTTCAGGGAATATTTCTACAAATTGATTCTCGAACTAACAAATCACTCTGAAGGATTAATAGAGCAGGAACCTCCGAGAGATATCAAATACGAATATGAGCGTGATGATTCTGGTAAAAAAATTGTTCTCGGTAAAGGCACATACGGTGTTGTCTATGCGGCCAGAGATTTAAATACTCAAGTCAGAATCGCTGTCAAAGAGGTACCAGAAAAGAATTTGGGAGCAGTGCAACCATTACATGAAGAAATATGGTTTGTAATACTTTTGAGCAAAATGGGTTTTTCTAGTGTTTTAATCTGGTTACATCAGAAATGTGCCTGATATGAATAATCATACAGTCAGATCAGTTATTAAAATCATATTGATGTGATCCACTTATTTTCAGGCTGCATTCGCAACTACGGCACAGAAACATTGTCCAATACTTGGGCTCATTATCAGAAGATAATTATTTTAAGATTTTTATGGAACAAGTACCCGGAGGTTCCCTCAGTGCTCTTTTGCGATCGAAGTGGGGACCATTAAAGTCTAATGAGCACACAATGGCTTATTACACAAAGCAAATTTTGGAGGGATTGAAATATTTGCATGACCAGAATATTGTACACCGCGATATCAAGGGTAAGAATTGTTATGATAGTAAAATTATAAATACTGTATTGTTTTTTCATCATTATTAAATGAACGTAATCATTTTTTCTTGTAGGTGACAATGTCCTGGTAAATACCTATAGTGGTGTGGTGAAGATATCCGATTTTGGTACTTCAAAAAGATTAGCTGGTCTATGTCCTAGCACAGTTACATTCACTGGTACATTACAATACATGGCGCCAGAGGTCATAGACAAGGGACAAAGAGGTGAGTTGTAAATTATGATTGGAACATTCCAGAATATTCTTATATTCCTGCAATTTGCTAATTCTAGGATATGGAGCTCCTGCCGATATATGGTCTCTAGGTTGCACAGTAGTAGAAATGGCAACTGGTAAACCGCCTTTCACAGAATTGGGTTCTCCTCAGGCAGCAGTTTTTAAAGTAGGTTATTACAAAGCACACCCAGAGATTCCCGATGAATTGTCTGACAGAGCAAAGAACTTCATCAGAAGATGCTTTGAACCTGATCCTGATAAAAGAGCTACCGCAGCTCAATTGTTGGAAGATCCATTTTTAGGTATGTGAAGAAGTTCTGATACGAATCTATAAATAAGTAATTTCAGTATGACTTACCCGTCTTTCCTACCCTCATCTGATTTTTTGCAGCCAGCACACTGCCCTTGGTGACTCAGTTTCATATGTTTCAGGATCTGAAAGACGGCAGAAAAATGTTCGTCTAAACACGGAATTTAGTAGAAGTGTTTCGGTGCCCGTGGAGAAATTAGTAACCAGAACCCATGGCCCCTCTAGTGCTCCTAATAATACACCTACTTCACCTGAAGCAGAGTAAGTGAATAACAGTTTGCTTTTATCGAGTTTGAAGCAGTTTTCAATCCAGTGTTCATTCCCGCTTATCAGCATATTTATGTCTTCCAAGAAGGACCTTCAGTTAAAAATGAAAATCGAGATATAATAATAGGTCGAAGTGTCATAACAACTATAATAATTATCCACATATTTGGTCAGGTTCATTTAATCCAGAGATGCCAGAATAGAAAAATTCTAGGTACATATTCTTGAAGAGGCATTAAAGTAATTTCGTATACTGTATCGTTGAAACATGGGTGTATTGAAACACCGATTCTTTATTTGAGTTTTATATAAGAAATGAATTTAATGGGCCAATAGATAAGGAGTTTGGCGAGCAACTGTAAACGTCAAGCACAGGGAAACTAGCACCTACACAGATACATTTGGACTTCCAGAGTTGTCCGTTTCTTGACCTTAATTACTAAACAGTGGAACATGGCGCATCATGATGGAGTTTCCAACCTGGCGGAAATCCAACCCGCCATCTCAAAACTGGGTCTTTGGATTCAGATGTATGGTTTTGGCTTATATGCCTCAACCATTCAGGGCGGGCTTCAACCTATGAAACAAGGGACAGGGTAACTTAGTCACAGTTTCGGGTTCGAAGGAAGATGGTCATCTTGGTGGGGCTATTGGCTATGGTGGCAGCCGCTGTATCAATGCTTCTGAGATCAAATGACATTGTGACCATTAAAGATTAGGACGGGGCAAAAAAATATTAGTGGTGGACCTCAATTTGCCCAGGAGGGGGATCGTGTCCCCTCATGACCCCTCTGGATTCGCCCTTGCGTTCCACACATGTACGCTACCCCAGTGCGTCAGAAAGCCAACCAACCGACAGATTAGAACGTGCGTGTAAACGGGTCTGACATAGCAAGTTTCGTCATGCATCACTGTGGCTATAAATATCATCTTATTAATTTGAAGATCCATTAAACGATGTTTTAGCGTTCAAAGTAATATTCAAAACTGCATAGGAAAATCCTTAACCACATTTTAGAAATGCTCTCCACGGTCCGCGCTTGCACGTCCATAGGTACATAAATATTTGCTCTCAAATGAGGCGCTACTTACCATTTTACGTTATTTGTTTAGCACTTTAAAGTCTTTTAAACACTTTAAACGAATCGTCAGCTTAAACAAATCATTTGCCTGTTTCCCGTGTTTGAATCCGCGCATTACAACAGATATAACTAAAATGGCATCGTTTTTTTTTTGATTCCTTGATTTCCTACATTTTCATTTGTTCTCACAGACTACTTTGTAATTTTAAATTGATGACCGCCCTTGGACATAATGTGAAATTATTATAGTGAAGTAATGTTTGATATGATCACTAAATATCATTAAAAATAAACACGAGTAATTAATTCCCATAAGTTCACATATACAAAGGATTGCTGTATAAATATAATTGAGAAGCGTAGGGATAGCAGAATCGCAAACAACTAGGTAAGCTGGTCGGAGTCGAGAAAATTCTTTTATAATCGACCAATTTTCCTAGGCTATAATAGAATTGCCTTGGAAGGGTTGCCAACATACTGCAAACTAACTTTTTGTGTCATTGTTGCCAGTCTTTTTATGTGAGTAGAACAAAATTCCCAGTTTTAAATCAAAACTAAACATAACCTCAATCAACAAAAAAATGTTTAAAAGGATTATTGCAAATGTGCGATAAAAAGTAATGTTGCCCTTTGGTTTTACGATGACGATTCCCGACATATTGAACAAAGATGATTTTTATTCGGTGCCTGTGTATCTACATAGCTGGTAATTAGTTTTTGTAATTATTTTTAGACAGAATTATCCTGGTTATGATTTGTTTACCAATTTTTTACGTGTTCCGTATGTGCATTGTTTTTGTGACTTTGTTCGCATGGTGGTGGTTAATTAATTGAAAAAAATAATAAATTGATTCTGTATTTACCATACCATAATGAATATATTGCTAGTTCTGGGTAAATTAGGATGGCACTGTTGTTTCGATAAGTGGTGAGTAAATATAAAATACCCATATACAGGGTGATTAGAAATTAACACAGTGAATTCAAAGATAAGCTTCTAACTTAATCTTTAAGCGATAAAATTTTGTTTGTGTTTCTATTTATATAGTTTATTTAAAAACATTACTATGCCTGAATTGTAAAGGTTTTGTCTGTTTATAGACTTAGATGAGAAAGGGTATTTTCAGTCAAATTATAAGAATCATATAGGGTGTCTCCAAAATGTATGGAATATCAAAGTTGTGTTTTCTTATGCTTCTATTAGCTTGTTATTTTATATTAATAGATTTTTAGATCTTGAGTCAAGAACCAAATGAACTTGACATATATATATGAGTCCTTTGATCAATTTTAGTTTTAAAGTAGCTTAATAATTGCCATAAGGTCTAACAGTATTCAAAATGAGATAATATCTCTCAATAATAATTATATACTATGATCCATCAGGATTTTCCAAGGAATGTGATATGTTTTACCTTGTAGCCTGGACAACAGCAGTTATTGTTGTATAAGTTTTTGTAAAAGCTTCTGACTATAATGATCTGTAAATATTGATACTACAGCCCACAGTAAATACTGAACAAATGACATCCACCTTAGATGATTTTTGTGCTCTGACATATATTTTATAGATGACAACTGGGTTATTTAATATATAGACTACATTCAAGGAAGTTCGAGTGGTCTAGTCATGCTATATTGCAGAAGCCTTCCAATATCTTTACAAAGCTATGCTAGTTTGTTAAACATCTATTGCAAGCTGCAGCTCTGGAGCACCTTTTATTGTCAATATCATGTTCTGGATGCCTCTCAGGCAGCGGGGTACTTATAATGTGTTATAGCATTCTACTAATTTACACCCAGAAATACATATTAAATTATTAAAATTAATATATTATTGCACAGCAAATGCCAAATAATTCCGCTTTTCTTAATGCGATTTTTTTTTCTTGGTTTTTTTTTTATTTCAATAAATTTGATCAGTAGTTTTTGGTAGCTAGTCATGTTTAAAAATGTCATCGATATCCCACAAATATAATCTAACCATGTTGTGTCGTGCTTGTGTGTCGTGTGTTTGGTAATAGTGGTGATAATATTACAGCTCGTCCCAGAACCGGGGCTCGTTGTTGCCGCCCATACAAATGCCTACAGCCCTCACGTTTAACAGGTAATATTGCTCTACTCATATCCTCCTACTCTGTATTCAGTTAAGTGTTTAACTTGGATAGAAACAAGTAGGCTGAAGAATGTTTTTATTTGGTGTCGCTTAGGATCAGGAAATTATGTGTTTTGTATGCCAACATAAAGTTTCACAATTCTACTGTGCCATTTTTGTGATGTTATCAAATAACTAGAATGCTTTGATATGAATCTAATAACACAGTGACTGTCACAATACAGTGCAATGATTTGTGAAACTTTTGGTACATGTACCCTAATTGTTGTTCGAATCTGCAGATTAAATGCTAACTCTAACCAACATTGTTTTTGCAAAATCTTCAGGTCCAGTATCAAATATATTCTCATGAATATTTGTGATAGCAATAGCATCTGTTTTCAAAAGATGTTTCAAGTAATTGTGGTTAGATTTGGTCTTTTAGATACCTATCTCTCTAATAAATATTTATGTCTTTATTGGGATTAGTATTGAGGTGTTAGATGATGCTATGTAAGTAGTTTGTGACTAATAGCTTGCATGCTAGCTTAGTAACTTACCGCTAACTTACTGATAATGGTACTCATTCTCAAACTTGACCTGGTTGATAATATGCATGCCATTTCTTAAATCTGTCGTCCCAATATAGTTTATCCCTTTAAGGATGAATGTTTCAGTTAGGCAATGCATCTTATTTTTAGAGTATAAAACTGTATGTTAAGTGTTGTCACTTCTTTGTGCACTACTTACTGAGTTTTTCAATAGACCATGTCCGCTTGTTTGCTTTCCCTTTGCCTGTCTCAGTGCGATTAGACTTATACTGTACTGATGATTGTTAAAAAACATGAAACAATGTTGTATACGGTTGGTCATGGTGTGAGAGACGGAAAGCAGAAAGCAAATAGATTCAGTTCACACTGATTTTTGTATACACAATTTCACTACATATCATACAGGCGATGATAGAACCTATACAATTCTACACATCCACGCAATTCCCTGAAAATTAAAAGGTATTTTTGGACAAAATCTATGACCTTGTTAGCTTGGCACACCACAAGATGCTACCGCAAAAAAATCCGATTTGGAGCCTCAGTTTGCAAGTGCAGCCAAACTATCAGGTATATGGCTGCATTTTTTTCTGGAAGTTCAATAGTGGGTCTGGTTGACTACCACTATACTGCTGTGAAGACAAGCTTCATAAATGTCCCGGTAAAAATTAATAGCTCCAGTTTTGCTTGACAGTCCTGTTATTACCTCAACTTTTAAGGGCTCTCAACAAAAATGTATCCTTCTGTTTCTTCCAAAAATATGTTGAAAAAGAAACTACTCATTCCAGGACAAATTAACCCTACAATTGGTTCAGAAAGCCAATGAACTCTCATTCCTCAAAGTAGTCACGGTATCTGTTGTGCAAGCATTGTCTTTTTGTTCATTCCGATGTAAAAAAGCAGAAACAATTGATATCTTCCAGCTGTGATTTTCAAGAAGCATAACATTTGCGGAAAAATGTAGTTTCACAGGTTCCTATGATTGTTCCTTTGAAGGATTTTGCTGTGCCCCATGGTTCACACTGATGAGGAGTTTTTGCTATAGCCAATCTCTTACAGGTCAGGCAATCCGAACAAACCTATTTCAGAAACAGAGAACACATTAGATAATGTTTTCACTGCTTAGAGTGTTTTTGTAATTTTGTACAACTGAGGTGCAAATTTTTTATCATAGGCGGTGAAAGCATCTAGAGTTGGTTCATCTTGAAATGAAGCAATGTATTTCAATAAATACTAGAAGAAACGAATGGGTGATTTTTTTGGTTGACAGCCCTTCAATGCACAATTCCAGAAAAAGCTTTAAAAAATGTATCCGAAAATGTATGACCTGTACCTTCAAAACAGCATAGTGGTCCTGAAGATCCACTTTGAAACCTGATAGTTTGACTGCACTTGCAAAGTTAAGTGCAAAATTGAATTTTGCAAAGGTGGAAACATAAATAGTAGTTACTTTGATCCTAAACTGTACTCTCTGTCTAAGCTCGGACGATGATACTGGTAAACTGTTTCTACCATGCAATTTTCTCCATATTACGTAATTATGTATGTGGACAGGGCCAATAGGCGTAACATTTTTCGAAACACACTTTTTTCTCTGTCCGGAGCATCTGCCAAGGTTGCCCCTGAATAGTTCCAGCCCTGTATTTAAGTTGAATATTACTAATTCCTACTGATATGTTAAACAGCTTAGCCTCAACGCCCTCTTTGGAATGCGAATCAGAACAGACACACAACACGGAACGAAGGAATTCATCAGGGACTCTTCTATCACCAGAAGTTGAAGCAGGAGGTGGTGAAACCGATGGATTTTATTTGCTCAAGAAGGATTCACAGAGGCGGACAACTCTGTCCAAAGTATTGGCCAACGATGGGGCCAAGATCTGCGACGTTTGGATGCAGAAGGTAAGATACTCAGCAAGTATTTTAATTTATGATGTCAAATATTATTATTATTTATACAATAAGCGGAACACTTGCAAGCCCTCGCCAAGATCATGCTCACTAGAAAACTTTTTTAGTTATTAGAGCATAAATCAGGGCGTGGTCCTCCTTGAGAATCCGGTTGTGTCCTAAAATTTGCATTGTTTGAAGAATGTGTTACTTGAGAAGAGAAAGATTCCTGTGCGCGCCCATGCGGACACAAATATTGAATTTCGGCTGTGTTCTACGTTTAGCTAATAATAAAATTAACTCTATCTACTAGAGTTATATGTTTTTCTACTTCTGATTATGTTTTTCTTATTTTAGCTGAGGGATAAGTACCATGGTGAAACAGTATTGACAGAAAAACACCTGAAGAGGTTGATGGACTGTTTGAAATCATACCTGATTGAACAATCTATGGGAGTAGTCGAAAGTACAATAACACAACTAAGGTTGGAGCTGGACTTTGATGCTCAAGCGATCAACCAATTGCAGTTTGCTATATACCTTTTCCAAGTAAAATAATTGAAGATTTATTATGTTCACAATTTACACCTAACATCTTTCCAGGAATCCGTGATTGAGGTCCTCCGATTGCACCCTATCAAACCTCATTGGATGTTCGCGTTGGACAACTTGGTGCGTCAGTGTGTCCAAGCGGCAGTTACAGTACTTACGCCCGAGTTAGTCGAGCATATAGCCAACCACAGCTCTCCCAGCACGGTCAATTCCACGAAATCGTCTTCCGGCAAAATGAGTGAAACGTATGACGTCCAAGTTTTGCATCTCAAGAGTGAAACTGGTAGGGTGAAGCAGGAATTCATTGATAGTCTGAGGGAATACCAGCTTATGGTGAGTTGGCTTTTAAACTTTAATCAAGTGGCTTGAAACTTCTCAAGATTAGACCGATCTTAGTTCGGTTCTAAATACCGCCAATTAGGAAGTTTTGCTATAGACGTAAATATTGCTGGTTTCACTTGCATATAATGCGTATAATTGGTCTCTGGAAGGATTATTCACATGTCATAAGTTCGGCTTCTGGGCCACGGTATTGACGCGGCCAGACAACGCGACGGTCCTTGCATGTCGCATTCATCTTTAGCGCTCAAGGTGACCAGTCGCAATATATTGTTTGTATCTTGGCATAAACTGCTGTATGATATCCTACAATAGCTATACAATAAATAAAATCGAAGGTTTTCTGCATACCGATTCCAATAATAGTTAAATGTACTATGCGACACATTCATGAGGCACGCATTAACATTTATAATTAGGCCCACAGTGGCAGTAGTTCGAAAGTCCTAAAATATGGCCAAAAGTAAAAAGAATCGCTAAATTTTACAAACAAATCAATTTCTTCGTATCCAGATCGCTGATAACTATACTAAGTGACATATAAATCCGAACACCCTGTTTAAATGGTTTTATTTTAATAAAAGTTGGTGAATGTATTTATCTTACTGTAAATAACAAGTGAACAAAATTTCAGCCTTATCAGTTGGACATTCCGGTTTTTATACTGCTTTTTTTAATTCACTAACGCTCTAAAAATGAATATTTCAGCCGCAGTAAAGAATCAACGTTGACGGATTTTGGCTCTTGACATCCTTTACGATCGGTTACGATGCCTAGAGTACGGAAACCTGTACGATTTCGTCAACTTAGTGAGTTTGATAGGGGCCGTATAGTGGGACTTCGGGAAGCTGGACTTTCTTTTCGGGCAATTGCAGTTAGAGTGCAAAGAAGTGTAGACACTGTGGTTATGTATTGTCAGGCATGGCTTCGAGAAGGCCGTACGCAAAGAGCAAGGGGCACTGGACGCCGCCGTAGAACAACAGACCGTGAAGATCGCCGCCTAAGATTATTGACCTTAAGGGACCGTTTCTCCACTACCAGGTCCATTGCAAATGAATGGTTTGCAGAACACGGAAGACCTATTGGCATGCGAAGTGTTTACCGACGAATGAAAAGTTTTTGCTTGTTTTCATACCGGCCACACTGGGTCCTCCCTTTAACTCGAGAACACCGACGTAATCGCCTTGAGTGGTGCAGACAACGGTCACTCTGGGATCAGGAATGGAACAGTATTGTCTTTAGTGTCGAGTCTCGATTTTGTTTAGGCATGCACGATGGTCGTGCCAGGGTTAGAAGGCGACGTGGTGAAAGGAGGAATCCACAGTTTTTTGTTGAAAGACATGTTCATCACACTGTTGGAGTTATGGTTTGGGGTGCTATAGCTTATGGTTCCAGGTCACCTTTAATCTTTATCAGAGGTAACATGAACGCGCAGCGCTATATCCACGAAGTTCTAGAACCCCATCTTTTACCCTATCTTGATACCCTGGCAGATCCAACTTTCCAACAAGATAATGCCCGACCACATGTTGCAAGAGTCACAATAGACTTCTTTCAACATAATGATGTCACATTGTTACCATGGCCACCAAGATCTCCCGAGTTATCCCCAATTGAGCACGTGTGGGATATGATGGGTAGGAGATTGCTCAATTGGCAACGTCCTCCTCAGACTCTAGAAGCACTTCGAGAGGAGTTGGTGGTTGCCTGGAATGAGATACCACAGGAGGACATTGACCACCTGATCAGAAGCATGCCTAAGCGCGTTGGAGAATGCGTAGCACATCAGGGTGCATCCACACATTATTAAAGGTCAAAGGGCTTTAAAGCAGTGCAATCATTTTGAAATTTTTATCATTTACTTATTATGCTTCATTAAGTACTTATAAAAAATTTTATTAAAATAAAACCATTTAAACTGGGTGTTCGGATTTATATGTCACTTAGTATAATATGATATCCACTTGTCAGGGACAAAAATGGCGGATATAATATGGTGTACATTTTAGCAAAAAATTGGGGTCGCTAATCGAAATAAAGTCGCTCCTAATATGGTTTAGTCGTTGTACAGCTGTCGTTTTTATATACGACAAACCTAACAAGGGTACGTTTTCCTATGCTTAGTCAAGTGTAAATTGTATGTGTGTATCAGTCATTGCCTATCCTACATCATCTTTTAAATTATCAATAAAGTACCTATCGATTGATTATCGCGGATATGTTTGCAAAAAATGTTTTGATCGTGCTCAAAACTAAGTTCCAAGTGTTTTTGAGATCGCTGATAATGAATTAAATATCGATTCTTAACAATCTAAATCCAGTATATATGACATATATGAAGGCTGTATTTGCAAAAAAATTGTCGCTTGTGTTCAAATTACAGTTTTCTATATGTTCGAGATTTAATTTATGTATTATTGTATAATGTCGCATAACTGGCAAACTTGCAGTCATGTGCAGCCAAAATTGACATATTTTTGATATGCTAACATTCGAAATAGAGCGGACAGTTTGTGAATTAACTAATTACGAGAAAAATAATAATTACATATTGTTGTCGTACAGTGTCATTGACGGGTAATATAACGCCATATCATAATAACTATTGAACAAACTATTTGCACTTATGGCCAGATTTTTTGGTTCCTGAATCACGCCGACGCATCTCCACGTCGGTAGAGTTAGCGTTCAAGGAGTATTTCCACTGTCACTATAACAAAATTCACATATTCTCGAATTAAAAGCAATAATCAAATCTATCCCCGTTCACGTTTATACCTATAAAGTTATTTATCCATCATAATAGGCACATACAGTAATATTTATTTTGATCCTTTTCACCATATTAACTGAATACCTACTAACATATTCACAGCAGTACAATGATATTTCCGAAAGAGTCAATTTTACCGTCGTCATATTGGTTCATTACCCTGTACCACTTCCTTCTAATTCTTCTAAGAGGTTTGTCCGGAAAATACGTATAAAAAATTCGTGGCGTCGTGTGAAGGCGTTGCGGAGGGGTGGCCCGGTAGTTCCCTCTCTCTATGCAATCCCCTCTATGCTCAATTCGAGTCGTAACGCTCTGCGAGTAAGTAGGATTTACGTGTGCTTGTTGAAATTAACCTTTTTTTACCTGCCGTCGGCATGGAGTTCCCTCTGATTGAGGAACAGCACATCAACGTCAAGTCTCTTGCAAAGCTAGGCAAGAATATTCGTGAGATTTTTGAGTCTTTGGAACAAGTTCACTGAGACAATTCTCTGAAGGAACCAACCGTCAACAAGTGGGAGGACGTCCCTCCACATCGAGCTCTGAGGGAAATGTTGAACGCATTCGGGGCTGTCTTCTTAGAGACCGTCGATTGACAATCAGAATGATAGCTGAGGGACTGTCATTCCCCAAAACAATCGTCCACGAAATTCTGACAGAAAAAATTGAAATGGAAAAATTGTGCGCGCAAATCGTTCCGACGCTCTTGACTCGAGAACCGAAAGCAAAGATAGTTGCTTGCTGTGAAGATTGATTGGAAGCACAGGAAAGGAGAGACTTTCTCAACCGGATCATAACTGGAGACTAGTCTTCGTTCTACGAATTCGATGTGGAGCCAAACAGTGAACGGAAATTTCTACATTGAAGTTTTGCGTCGTCTGAGAGCTCGTGTGGCACACGTTTCTCGTTGAGCGTGACTTTTTGGCCCGAAGCTCAGTCACCGTGACAGAACATCCGCCTTATTCACCCGATTTAGCCCCTCGCGACTTCCTGTTCCCATAATGCAAAATGGTGCTTCGGGGGCGGCACTTTGGGTATCAGGAATCCATCAAGGCAGAAACGACACGGCAAATGAAGAGCCTCACAATTGAAAACTTCCAGCGATCGTATCAACAGTGGAAACGGCGTCGGCAGAAGTGCATCTTGTCTCAGGGAGAGTACTTTGAATGAGACCATATTGAAATACATGAACAATTGTAAAATAAAGTTATTATTCCACTTTTATACGTACGAGGGATGTTTTGCATATAGAAACATAGTAGGCCGCACGGATCGAACGTCAGTACTGAATCTTAACCTCACTCTTTAGTAAACTCAAATTCAAAGTTTCGCAACAATTCGTACAGTGTTCTCACTACAGTGAATTTTTAAGTATCACCAAGTCATTAGAAAAATGGAACTCAACCGAGAACATTTTCGCGCCATAATTTATTACAACTTTGAGAGACAATTATCGCCCTGCTGAGTTACTGTCTGCTTTCGGCAATGAAGCGCCACATCGGTCGACAATTTCCCGTTGGTATGGAGAATTCATACGTGGAAGGGTGAGTCTTGGCGACGATCTCAGGGTGGGTGCACCAAAAACGGCGGCAGTCACCCAGGAAAACGTCGATGCTGTGAGCAAACTCATCATTGAAGATAGACATGTGACATATCGCGAGATTGAGGCGTCCTTGAAGATCTCAAATACCTCAATTCAAAAAATTTTACATGAAGAATCAGGTGTAAGAGAATTACTTTCTCGTTGGATGACTGATGACTGAAGAGCAGAAAGCAGCCAGGGTTAATTGGTGACACAAAACGCTTGACCGTTTCAATTCCGGAAACTCAAAAAATGTGTACAGCATTGTTAGTGGTGATGAATCGTGGATTTACTGTTATGAACCAGAAAATAAACGACAGTCGGCTGTTTGGGTGTTCCAAGGTGAAGAAAAGCCAACAAAAGTCATCCGTTCTCGAAGTGTTTCGAAAAAGATGGTCGCGACATTTGTGCAACAATTCCTCTTAATGAGCAAATAACTGTTACTGCTCATTGGTATTCCACCATTTGTTTGCCAAAAGTCATCACCGAGCTTCGAAAAATCAACCCCGAAAGAAGAATCATGCTCCACCAAGACAATGCAAGCTCGCACACAACCCAAAAAAACAAGGCAGTACTTAACGGAAGAAAACGTGGAATCATTGGACCATCCTCCATATAGTCCCGATCTAAGTCCTAACGACTTCTTTACTTCCCAAAAATTGAGAACAGACTGCGTGGTCAAAGGATCCAGTCAGCAGAAGAAGCAGTTGGCGCATTCAAAAATGCCGTTTTGGATATGCCAGCAAACGAGTGGAATAAGTGCTTCGAAAATTGGTTCGAGCGCATGCAGATGTGTATTAATATTCGTGGAGAATACTTCGAAAAACAATTCATTCAGTCATTTAAAACTATCTACCTTGTTGTTTTATTTCCATATGCAAAACTTAATTATTATTATTATCTGGACAAACCTCGTATGCTTTGGCACAACTAACATGTGGAGCTGATATGCCTGTATTTGCCCGTTTGTTACCCGTTTTTACCGTAAATCGTAAATACGAAGCTGAGCAACGATTTTAAATGGCGCGAAGCGTGCTCGGCAGTCACATCGCTTTGTGGTAGGGATGGCAGCTGGTGTCCTGTGACGTCGTCACTCAGTGTCCTGCTCCAACAAGCTATTTTTCCAAATAAGAAACTTCTGGGTAGCTTAACTTAGTAATTTTTCAAGATATTCAAAAATATCTTTCAATGTTGTGCATCATTCTACTTAGACTATCATTTTAAGTGTTTTTCAAAAAAGGGAAACTTTCTCAGTAGCACTTACTTTCATAATATTTCACTAAGTTAAGGAAGTTGTAGGCTTTACAACATCTGAGCATTGAACAAGTCGATTATTGACAAAAAAATGATCCTTTCAGGTAAGGCAACTGGCTGAAGAATTTCGGCAGCAAACTGAAGCGTTAAAGCAGATCTGTAGCAGTAATAGACAAAGGGAAGTTGTGGAGGAAGATACTCTTCTGAATAATTGGTTGGAAGGATTAGGAATTCATCCGTCAGCCAGAAAAATCCTTGTTGGAGAGGGATATACCCTTGATGAGGTAAGGTGTTTGTCTCTAAACGCAGTGGCATCACTGTTCCTTTGTGCGTGCGTCTATCGATCAGGTAGTCATGTTTCAACTATTGTGGAGGGTCTAATTCCTTCTACTGCTGATTGCGAAATTTTAACTCTCATTATATAATTATATTATAAGGAAATAAAGTGTGATTTAACAATGACCATCAAAAAAGTCCTCATATAGAAGCCTATTAACTTACTGTATGTTTCTCAGGTGCTATACCAGATAGACAAGGAAGAACTCCGACAAGCAGGTCTTCGAGGTGCCACCGTCTTCCGCATATGGCGAGCAATAGAAAACTACAGAAAGGGAGTCGTAGTATTGTGTAACGGGGTAACGACAGGCGAAACTGGTACTGTCTAGGATAAGCAAAAACGCCCAGACACAATTTCCAATTTTGGGACAAGTAACTTTTTTTTCTCGCACTGCTTACCGGTTGTCATTACTAGACCATTTGGCGGTATTTGGTCTTTCCTGTCGCGGTTCTATGTGCTTAATTTTGGGGTAAATATGATTGGGTGTATTTGGCCTTTAGGCCATATTTGGAACTACATCAGTCGTTTGTGGACAAGAAGTTATGTATGGCTACTAAATCGTCTACGATAATACATCTTGTCAGGACAAGTAAATTTTCCCTCGAGCATTAATGAGATTTAGTTCTGTTACTTGTCCATATTGGTGCTTAAAATGTGCTGTGATTTTTATCTGTTGATCTGGTGTCTGGACGTTTCGGATTTTTTTTCTGTATTTTCAATACGGGCGACGTCAGCTTTATTTTTCAGCGTAATAAAAACTTCAATAACCTTGACCATAATTTGGCTATAGTTTCGAATTTTGATTACTTTTCATGAGGATTTTATTTTTTTCGGTTAGCTTTTTGAAAATTTCATCAGTATTCTAATATAATATTGGTCACATTCTTTAATCACCTATGAGATGGAACTACTAAGTATACGTTGGTGCTTTGTAGCAATTGCGAGGACGGGTTGATTTATTAACCTGTTCCTTTGTCATAGTTGTTTAGAGAATATAATGATTTTTGTTTCCAAGAATTTTTTTGTTTTGAAAAATAAACCTGAACTGTCATATTTGACGGTAGCTAGATTACCGTGGGTACAAGAAATAGACTGTGTTATCCTTATTTTATTTTTTCTGTTTTATTGGAGAATTTTATTTCAAATGCAGTGCAATGGCTTTATTTTTTCCTAATTTGAAGTATCAGATTCGATATTTCAATAGCTAAGTGGAATCTAGAGATTCTCTGAATTAGACTTCATTGTAAAGATGTCTGATTTTTGTTTTACTTGATTTTTGTCTTTTTTATGTTAATTTTTGGTTTTAAACAAATTGTTTTAATGATTTTTTGTGGAATAATAATGATTGATATTAACTCTAAAGCAATAACTTTATTAGTGCCTTACAGAATACATCACAATATTTAACTTACAAATTGAAACTTTATTTTTAAGTATTGATTTTTAATTTTATTTTGAGAAACTGTTTTAAATATAGCGCCATGTTCGTGCGTTATTGAGAAGAAATATTTTATTTTATTATCTGGCTATTAAGTTTTTTAACGTTAGAATGTTTAAGTCGGCACTGTTAACATTGAATTGACGTGTATTAAATGTATATATATATATTTTCGCTAATAAATCTATTTGACTAATTGTGTGTGCTTTTTTGCGTACTGGGCAAAATTGCCTCAGATTCCTACAGTGTACACTACAACGATAACTTGCTGGTACAACCACTTCGTTCATATAGAAATAAAACAGCTAAAAATGCAGCTAAGCATGAGTACTGTTATATTTATTCCTCTTTCCATCATTTACTTACACTACAATCATAAATAAGTTATATAAATAAATATTTCTCATCAAAAATATAGTATAAATACCCCGTTCCCCACTTCAACTCTACTTTCCCAGGATAATTTTCCTGGAAGCTCCAAAGTTCTGTCCAGCCTGTGTTGCTCCTCTGTTCTGGCCTGCCTGTAGGCCAATGATAGCCTCTCCAGCCCTCAATTGTTGCTCACTGAATTCCCTCTTGTTCTCTTCAGCTGGTCTGGGTCCCAACCAGGGTCCTCTCCATTCTGGGTGCTTGTAAGCCGTACGGCCAATGGCAAATATGGTCTGAGTTACCAGGGCGATGTTCTTTTTGTCCCACAAGTCAGTAGTTTGGAAGAGGTCCACGTCTGGTACACCGTATCTTGTACAGGCCTTCTGGAATCTGAAAATAACAGATTTTATGTTTATTATTTAATCACTTTTGAAGTATTCTCTAGAAAAAAAATCATTTTTACTTCACACGACACTGTAGAGGAAGTATTGTGATCGCGAAAAATTTTGAAAATTTGATATAGTTTTTGGATGTTACATTACTGAATTCGTCTGTATGTCTGCTAATCCTTAACTTCTCTATAATTTCAAAAGTACCAGTCGAATTTTGTTGAAATCTTATACAGGGGTTAACACTATCCAAGGGACGGAAGATCTTTATAGTTTTGAAAATCGATCCAGTGGAGGCGGAGCTACAGGTAAAAAACGAAAAAAAATAAGACAGAGACATAAACATTTGAAATTCGTACATTGACAGATAACTTCACAACAAATCCGTATTTTCTGCCGGAAAAATCAGCCAATAAGATTTGTTCGTTATTCCGAGTACCAATAGAAAGTGACTATACATTTAATTACACAACTGCCACTGTGAGAGAACTCTCATCTTTCATATCTTACGTAGCTCTTAAGGGATACGTGTGTAGCGAAGTATTTTCTATGGACCGCATGAAATAAATGACATGCTGGAACCAATATGTCAGCATCAAGTGAAATTTTATGGTTGAACTTCTCGTATAGAAACGTAACGTTCAATTATGGTTTATAGACTGAAAGTATCCCCTATAAATACTGAATCAACCCAATCTACTTGAAGTAATTTTTAACAGCGAAATTAGCTAAAAATGCTGGAATCTGTAGATGGTAGTGTAATACTGGTTGCCTGCACGTCACATGTATTCTATAATTTCACAATCGATCCATACTTGGTCGGTGCGCTGACAATACAAAGACCTCCTAAACGCTGATATCAGGCGCGGCATTCCCTTGAGTGACACATTTCCAACCTTCTCAGTGCGCTACTACCCTAATGAAAGACTTAGCAAATGCACTAGTTGATGATACCTCATCATTGTTGCGTTAATTAGCAACCGATTAGTATCATTTTAATTATAACTCCAATTAATTAATAAGCGGATAAGCCCCTTTGGCAGACCCAGAGGAAACTTAATATTTTTCGAGCATGGGTGGAGGAAAAAAATATTCCTGAAGGTGAAGAACTAACTTTTTTTCTAAATTGACACGCAACATAAACCACTACACAAATAGGAAGTACAACCTCCCAGAAATCGAGTTTAGACATATGAGAACTATTGAATGAACTATTATCATAGACGTACAGGAAACAGAAGAATAAGAGGGATATATATAGGAATTATCAATGAATCCTCCACTCAGTCGCAGGGTTGGCTTCAGAGTTTCGTGAGGCAAAGGATAAAATATGCGGCCTGCCCTTACATTAATTGAGAATTTTGCGCCCCCCATGACATTACGTCTTGAGGCGGCTATCTCTCTTGCTTGCCTCCAGTAGCCGGCCCTGTTTGCTGCCTCAGAGAAATCTTAAAATGCTATTTAATGTTTGTTCACTATTGTCAACGATCAGCAGTTTAGCCGACCCGAAAAAGACTAAATTGGTAAGAGGAAAAAGTAATTGCCGTCGCAATATTAGCAGTGGATCAAAAATCTTTTTTTTTTGTATTGCTCGCGCACACACGACCATACAACACAGGTTATTTGAGAGCATATTTTCTGACAAAAGATTAATTCATTCGTTAAAATTTGTACAATGAGCACACTGGTTGCTCTTCAAACTTCTTTGCAACCATCCTGGAAACTAGTTTTTCCATTCTTGTTTATGAAATGTGTATATTTTTCTCCTTTACCCCTTAACTTGAAACCCCATGATTATGATGATTTAATAGTTGATAATAAAAAATCGACGAGCTTTGGTTTCCTTATTGCTTGTCCGGTGATGAGGTAATGAGGGTGATGTACCAGTCTGTACCTCTTGCACGCACACAAACCAAGACAGGGAATGCGGAGTAAGGGATGAGCGTACATATTTATAAACAACCCAAATCTACGCCCCTCGAGTGCCCGACTGCATGTAAGCATCCACATTATTGGCCATAAAATTACATAATCTATAACATAGAATTTATTTTTCTTCTTTATTTTTGGTTCTCGCTCTTTCTACCTACTGCTACCGAATCTATATTTTAATTCATTTGAGATGAGTGGCCTCTTATTACTCCCATGCCTACGTTTATGCATGGTTATACTAAGCCAACCATTGGAAGCTCTGCATGGCATGGCTGTCGCTATGTGTACCTCTTCGTGTCTCTACTCTCCTGATCGTACAATTTCATACTGGATGATTTATGTAGAGCAAAGCAAAATCTATCTGACCCATGTTGCCACATAAGATCAAGACCGACCAATATTTTGACTCATATTAAAAAAAAAAAAAATCATTTGTGACAAACAAGCAAGGAAGACATACTATTCACACAGATTTTTTTTGCCTAATGGCTTTTAGTTACTCTAGCAATTTGAGCTCTTTTGTCACTTTTGTTATCTTAGTGATGATAATTCTTGCTTTGCATTAGAAAGCAGTTGCATAAATAGAATCGACTGATTGCTTCAAACAATAAAGCTTCTTCTTCAATAATTATTTCCAATTCTGGGCCCCTTTTTAACGACCCGGGCCCGGGGCCCCCTGGACAACCCGGAGCCTCCTAACAACCTCATTCCCCTTCAACCTTCCATATATAGGTGGATAGATTTTCTATACAAATTTTTTTTCTGCGAATATTTGCAATTAAATAAATGTCCACACCAATGAACAATTTTAATATAACAAGCTACCTAAAACTGTAAAACGTGGCAACGTATCATTTTATTGGTTCGGTTCCCGTTACGGCTTGCCCTCCTCCAACAACCATTCAAATTGGGCCTCCTTGCCCACGCAGAACCGATATTGCAGCCATCGAGCAGAAAGAAACTGACCCGATTCGGCCTGATCACAAGGACAATACTACCCTTTCCTCGATGCACCAGGAGTACAGAAACTGGCGGAGTGTTTTTAATATTTTAAGATTTCTGGTTTACATTCATTATTTAAAAAAATAGCTTCTCTCTTATCATACTTTCCTATTACAAGATAGCGGTCCATATTTAAAAGTAGTTAAAATGTCGGCGCAAAGCCAGCCAGCCAGGAGCGAGCGCGTTTATGGTGGTAGAGGTATTTTTTTCTTTTTTGCAAGTCGCTAAATGATTAATTATGTAGCTTACCCAAATTTTTACAGGACTACACCCATATGCCTATCGAGAGTCATTTTGCAAAAATCTACCTTCCCAACGTAGACGTAAAACAATTTTTATTTGTCTGTGGCATCGTAGAACAAACAACTAACTCCTCCATGAACCGATTTCATTGTGGTTTTTTAAATTTTGTCGAAATGGTTCTTAGCCATTTTTTAATCGATAGTCTCAACACGAGAGTTGTTTTTTTAAATTTTCATAGCAACATTCATTACCTACTAAGAGAATGTTAACCAATGGATCAACGTATTCTCTCGGAGGCAAAGTTGCGCATTTAGGTAACTAAGAAAATGGCACTAAGAAAGTTTTGCAATTCCGAGTCTATCTGGAGATACACGAAGGCTGACTTTATTCGAGATTGGATTTCAAAATAAAAAATACATTGGCACTTCCACTTTTTCACCTCTACAAGACGGCATAATTAAAATTTCCATATGACGTTTCGTCTCTTATCGTTAATTCATCAACTGTATTTTTTCTTGTATTTCTTAACTCAACAAACCATCTCACACACTTCTAAAATATCATGTTTCGCCGTTATTCTTCAAGATTTGTTCCAATTATCTCATGAATCTGTAGCATGGGTAGAAGTTACCGATGGGGTCCTACAAAGGTCTGTATCTCCAGCATATAAAAACTGGTTCGCGCACAGGTGTATTTTTTACATGGCATGACATGGGTACTAACTGGCTAAGGTTGTCCATCATCTTGTAGTCCCCACCAGAGGTGTTGATCTTAGGGATGATTCCTGGAGCAAGACGGTTCATCAGAGTACACAGGAGGACACCGTCACGCAAGACATCTTCGTATGGGACGCCTGGGGGGAACCTCATTCCAGTCACCTGTTCTATCCATTGCTGGGCCTCCGCTTCTTGCTGGGGGTCACGCTTTCCGGCAACCTGCAAATTTGGAAAATTGAAGTCAGTGAAAATTATGAAGATGTTTTAAAAAAAGTGGTTGAAAAATAAATTTTTCCAAATTTGATTCATATTAGATTGTAAAAAGTTTCAATCTCGACAAAATCTTCTCTATGGTAGGTGGGGCGGTAAGATTAAGAATCTGATCTGATGTCAGTTGTTCACTGAGGGCGACGATAGGTCCCACAACTACCATTCTCCTACCGCAGGTAGGGCTGCGCACTTTAACATTTTTTGATGGCGATATTCGAAATTAGTATCTTAAATAATTCGTAAATTGAGTTTCATTTGATTGTAAAAACTGGAGACTTAAATGGAAAATTTTCTTCAAGAAGCTTCACTGCCTTGCCTTGAGCTTAAAGCATGACTTTTGATGAAAATTTTTTGCGTACCTGATGTTTCGATCAAAACCCATTTCCTAGTTAAATGGGGTACATAGATTCAGTGGCGTATATGAAGTAAGGGGAGGCCCGGAAGGCCTTGGCCCCACAAATGGTACAAAATGCTGATCACATTCTGGGCGAATTTCCCAATTTTTAAGTGAACCATTTATTTACCGGTCCCAAAATTTGCAAAGCAGTAGGTAATTTGCACGTTTCAAGTTCGGGAGGTGGGATGCTTTGGAACTGAAAGATACCACCTTCGATATCAATATTTTGAAGGTGATAAAGTATTACTTAGAATTCTACATGTGGGGTTCTAGATCAAAAGAAAATATTCCTCTGTAGACCCAGAAGCACTGTTTCATCTTTTTTTTTTCTCACTTTACAATTAGGTATCTGTGTAAAATGTGTGATTTTTTCAAACTCGTACATGGTAACCTAACATTTGAAATATTCATTTCGTATCGTATGGAGAGATATACGAGTACATACATAGATATTTAATTTGTAATGCGTCACAAAATACATTAAAAGATATGTTACTTTGCCTATTAATACCAGGAAAATAACTCTATGGCGGTGTTCCTGTTTGAGACACATGTTCGTTGTTTATCCAATATTTTCTGAATTACGATGCTTCAAAGTTAATGAAAAATATACGGTTTGTCCAGTTGCAAAGTAAAATTTAACGTACTTTCTTCGGAAAAGCACGCTTATTCAATTTCCAAGCTATTTAAGAATTAAACCACAATTTACTCTACAATGTTAGGGATTGGTGCAACAAGGTGCCTAAGACACATTGACTTTATTTCGAGAAATTTGACATTGTAAGTTGTATGAAAATCCTGAAATCACGTTTTTTGCTTTATTCTACTTGAACCAAAATAATACACCCACAACTAGGGAAACTAAGGTTCGGTCACGACTGCGCAGAAAAAATGTGACATATTTCGGTAAAACAAATTTATTTTTGATAATTATGTGGCTTAGCGACTTGTTACACGTTTCGTTTTTCGCATCATTCAATATAGCAATCCTTGTAAAGAGTAGATATGTTGGGATCGTGGTTTAGGAAAACTCTATTTGGATTGACGTTCCGACTATAGTGACTCTGGTCGTGAACAGACTGAACTCTTTCTGCAGAAGCTTTGTTGGGACTGTTATGGTGTTTGCCTATACAGTCCCTTATTGGAGTTGTTCTGCCTTAGAAAATTTGCTGAGAGATAAGTTTTAATCGCTTACTACTGCTTTGAAGTCCATGGATAGATAGAAAATTCAGTTTTACATATTTGAACATCAACTCCATTTAGCTTGACGATATATTGGTTTGTTACCCGTCGAGCCGATTCCGGGCATTTACCTAGTTTTCTTTTTGTAGCTTCTTTTCTTTGGTATAACCTTTATAATAGAAAACAAAGATGTATTCTGTTTGTCATACGAGTCCAAGTTCTAAAATGAATTAAATATACTGGATTCAGTTGTCTGCAGCACTGTTTGCACGGGCATGGTGGACCTAATAGCCTGCCGTTGTTGACCCATAAAATCAAACATCGTTTGCCTAATGACTAATGCTTCTTTCAGTTGAACATAAGAGCTTAGTGAAATTTATTAATACTGAAGATAACTGTTCAATAATAATTAATTTTTAGGAGCAGTATTTCGCAATCCTGTTTCAAAAAAGTTATCGCTGTTCTGGAATACTGAAAAATGTCACAAGCCACACATGCCATTTTATTTGGTAAAGACGGACATTAGCCACTCAAAATATTTACATATTTTTAGCACGTATTGAAGTTACTCGCGGCCTACGTTATCTTTCATAAATTAGGATTACGATATATTCTGCTAAGGACTTAGTCTAAAATCATTATCTAACGGCATCGTGAAACTAATATAAAAAATCGTTTTCCTACGTGAAAAAAGTATAAGCCACATCTGTAACGGCAATAAGGTCATAAGCCACAAACTTATTCATTCACCCGAGTTTTTCGTTCAGTCACTATTACAACTGCTACCACTCGGATGATAGTCTCTGTCCTTCAGATTATCATCTAAAATATATCCAGAACCATTTTCGCTCTCTGAATCACTTAAACATCTATTGTTTTTACCAGCGAACAATTTTCGTTTAGCGTCCATCCTGAAATCTATGTGGCGTATGTCCTTTTCAGTGTAAACATGTGTAGAATATGTGGATCTATCAAAAACGCCCTCTAGAAATTATACTGACATATGTCAACGAAATTTCAAACAAATCAATTCGGGACATAGATAACCTCAGTACTGATGTGTTTGAATGAAAATGTAAATTTGTATTCGAATGTGTCTTGTTGCCCCAAGCCCTTCAATCCTACAAGTTGAAAATATTAAACTGTGTAAATTCTCTCAGATGAGCACTAAAACACTTTTAGGCGCAAAACGTCATTTCTTTCGATATTAAATACAGGGTGCGGCAGAGAGGACGGACGTTTTTGGGATGGGTAGTACTCTCCGCCTCCGTTTACGAGAGAGGTGGGGAGGGTGCCGTTTTCTCGTGAGATCCTAGCATTATTTTAGCAGTTGTCGTTATGGAGCCTTGGATGGTGGAGCACCGCGTTTTCGAATATGATTGTTTCGTCCGAAATAATGAGTCAGTCATCGTCGTACAGCGTGAGTTTCGTCGCCACTTCAACATTCATCGGAATAGAGCTGTTCCCTCTCGAAACATCATCCTTCGTTGGGTTGAATCACTTCGCAGGCATGGTGAACTGATCAACAGCAGACCAAGAGGAGCGCCGCGAACAGTTCGAACTCCTGAAAATGTTGAACGCGTTCAACAGGTCTTTCTTCGCAGTCCGACTCGATCTGCCCGGAAACATGCTGCTGCACTTCGCCTTAGTGAGATTATGCACAACGAATTTTGTTTATGAGTGACGAAGCCCACTTTCACCTAAACAGCATAGTTAACCAGCAGAATTGTCGTTATTGGGCTAATGAAAATCCGCAACAGTTACACGAAAGTAACGGTTTGGTGCGCTGTATCGCAAACTTGCATCATTGGCCCTTACTTCTTCGAAAACGGTAATGGCCGTGATGTTACCGTGAACTCAGAGCGCTACGTCGACATGATCACCAACTTCTTTCTTCCTGAATGTCGACGGCGACGTGTTCCAATCCGACGTGTGTGGTTCCAGCAGGATGGGGCGACCGCCCACACAGCCCTAGCATCCATGGACGTTATTTTCAGATTTATCCATATGCGATTTTTTCTTATGGGTACACCTCAAGGCTAGAGCATACGCGAACAAGCCCCGAACTCTGGACGAATTGAAGGGCGAAATTCGCATGGAAGTCGCCCAAGTTGAGAGAGCGATGTTGGAGAGAGTCTACGCGAAGTTCCAAGAACGCCTCCAGCACTGCATCAACGATTTCGGCCACCACATGCCTGATGTGATTTTCCACACTTGACTGTCTCAAATGCTATTTCATTGTAAACCTGATTGCATCAATACATTTGTTTTCGAGTAAAAATTAACTATTTTATGATTTTTTTAAAACCGTCCATCCTCTCTGCCGCACCCTGTATTTGTAACCCGCCATTAAGGAATATTGGAAAAAACTCACGAACTGTTTCTGTTTTCCTCGAAATATTGACTATTGGAAATAGAAGTAATGCATATTTCTTACGTTATGTTGCTTATTTACAATTTCAGAAAAGTCACATCATACCCACATACTGTTTTGGTCCTCCAACAGATTTTCACACTTACTTAAAGTATCTGCAATTTCGACCAAAAACCCGTCTCTTTTGCTAAATCGAGTACGTAGACGGAGAATCTGTATTGTTGTTTGCTGAGATCACATCACATTTTCCTAGTCCAAATAGGAAACAACTAGTCTTTAGCATTTTTTGATTGTCATATTCGAAACCAACATCTCAAAGTATACAAATGTACTGAGATTCATCTTTAATAACGGAAAACGAATCCTGAACATTCCTCTAGAGAAACGCTAGATCCATGATGACTTAATTCATACTAGTTAAAATCTACCAAAGTGAAAGAATATCTGAAAGCCATATGATTCCGACGAGTTCTTCAAAATAGACTACAACATACTGACCCTATACCGTTTAGCAAAATAGAAAATAGAGTATTGTTTTATAACTAGAACATTTTAAACTAAGTTCGGAATTCTTTAATTCAGTTGTCTACCAACTGAAATCTGTTGGTCTACTATAGTTTAAGCGTTCCGTAATGAACCTGTCAAGGTCAAGACGGTTTCGATGTCCAAGCCATTAGTAATTAATAACTATAAAAAATATTGCACAAGATAATACACAAATAGATAAAAATCTCTTAGGAAATGTGTTCCATTTAAACTGATAGATCCGAATTAAAAAGCTTGAGGTAGTATTCAGGATAAACTAAACAGAATATTCGATAATAGTTCGGATACAGAAAATAGTTACCAAGAAGAGAACCTGATGGCTTATAGATTCAACCCCGCACCACTTTCATTTTGAGTCCTTTTTGAAAGATTGTAGCTACCCCCAAAGGCTCTCAACGAAATGTGAAAGCTTACATGCCTTTTCGAAAGGTATAAGCTTGGAAAACGTAC